GCTGAGCCACTAGCCGATTGGTGTAAAATGCCGCCCAGCTGGTCACTACACACACAGAAATATTGAGCGGAAAAACGGTGTAATTGAAAGTACCAAAAGGAACATTTTTGTTGGTGTAAAATTACTCTGTTTTCTGGGTAAAAGAACACTTAAATGTGTGTTTTGCTAGCTTCGGAGTGTTTCACTATTGTGTAGGAGAACCGCTTTCAGTGTAACTTTACCGCGGATCTCGCGTTACATTTACGCACAAATATGTGTTTTTGGTAAAAAGTACCAAAAGGAACACTCGCGTGGTAATCGTACACAAATTCATGGCGGTAAATTTACGCAAATATGATGGTTATTATAACGTTTTTTCTGGTCAAGCTAATGTTGGGCCCGCAAAATTTGTAACGCAACTCGCAAGCGACACGTGGCGGGACGTTGTCGCCAGCCGCAAGCCTAGATAAATGGGACAAAACATTATGATGATCAATGCCTACCCCATGCTGCAAACACGTTTGTTTGTTTGTCGTTTATTGTTAAGAATCGACATCACATCTGACGGAAATAAAAGTTAGGTTAGCGCAAAAGTATCACCTTATCATATACATAAGCTGGATATTTCACAACGCATGGGCGCCGCTACAGGCCGCAGCCACCGCCCGTCTCCCGTCAACTGCCCGTAATTAATAAATAAAAAATATGTCATCTGTACGCAGTACGCACTAGTTCACTGTACCAAAATTATCGTTCATTTAATTAGCCATCGGCTCTCTATTGCCTATCTGGCAAAATATTAGTATACCTATACCACAACCGTAGAAAAACATGAAAGTGCATCCATTATTTTCATAACACGACAGCAGTTCAGTTGAAAAATTACAAGCCCACCTTAGCACTCCGACAAAGCTGGATAATTTCCAGTAGCTCTTCCAATGTCGCTCCGCCTCAGATTTCAGACTCGGTCTCAGTGCTGCCAGATTTGGAGGATTTCCGCAAATCTGGAGGATTTTGAACTCTATTTGCGGACAAATTTCGCTTTTGGAGGATTTTTGATTCTGGAGGAAAATCTGGAGGATTTGTCGCCCGATTATTATATTCAATTTCATGGAAAAATATAACACATTCAAGACTAAACTCAAAGGCATTTTCCTGTCCAGCGTCACCTTACCCGTTAGGATATATCACGTCTTAAGTCCTTTATCACCGTGAGACTGCAGAATGTCTCAGTCTGTAGCTATATCTACGAGGGTACCAAACTACTGGCGGATCTAAGGGGGACATTTGGGGTAAATGCCCTAAAGGCCCCCCTGCAGCGCCCGAAATCGACGAAAATTTTTCGTTTTTTTTAGGAAAAAAACGAAAACTAAACAACCTTTATTAGAAAAAGTATCTTTTAAACTGCACAGCAGTGCGAAAGGATTCGAAATCCGATGAGTTTTTAGGATTTGGTGAAACTTTTTTGGGGGTATAGCCCCCCGCAGCGTCCAAGACCGCCTTTCTATTTCTACCAATAGGATTTGGAGGAATCTGGAGGATTTTTGTAACTGATCTGGAGGATTACAGCCTTCCCCGTCTGGCAGCACTGCCGGTCGGTCTTGATTGCAGTTATAAGACGATGACCATTGACCACAATGCAGTATTTCACTTACTATTCACTCATTCACTCATTACTCAGCTTATTATCCAACTAGATAAACACCACAGCACTGTTTTATTTCACTGATCGCACAAGAATGGGCAAACCCACTCCGCGCACTGCAGCCACAGCACTCCCCCGTCGGCCCCCGCGGTCCCCGGCGCACAACTGACAGATTGCGAAAATGGCGCCGCCGCCGTCAGCCTTTAGCTCAAAATTTCGCTAAATTTACACGGGTTGACGTAAACGAACGGTGCTCTGGATGTGTACCGCAATTACCAGTGCGACACAACACTCATTCGCGTATGGATACACTTGCTTTGCATGGAAACATATCAGTTAGGTATTTTGAGCATTTGTTATGCTGTTACATTATCCTGTTTTGCGTAAAGATGCTTGCGTGGTGTAATAAAACTGCCGATGTTTGTTAGTTAACCAATAAACGTCGTATAAAAACAAACTTATTCTTGATGCCTTTACTTATTATGGCGTTATGCAACGGATACCTTGCTTATTTATCACGAAAATACTTAAACTAAAGATATTTTACTAAGTGAAACAGAACTTTGAAGCTATTTGAACTATTTACGAGTATATTGAACTTGACATCGCTCAATATTTCTGTGTGTGTACCTTCAAATGTCACTTGGCCGCCTAGTCTTACATACTAGCTTCTTAGTGCGCCATCTCGAATCGGCCCCTGCTCCAATGGAGACGATCACCATCGCCGCAGGCGTACGTCTCTCCTTCGATCCCACCTCCCCCACAACGCTGACTCTGAGCGCCAACTCTCCCCTCAGTGTATCTTGTTACGTACAATGTGCATGTGTGTTTGTGCTGCAATACATACGAGCAATCATGTCTCGTGGGGGAGTTGTGAGTAACATCATAGAGAAGTTGCAACGTTTACGTGAAATTAGATTGCTGATATAAAATGATATGATAAAGGTTTACTACACATTGGGTGGAGACTTCCATTGGCGTCCAACTGGCGTCTAACTGAGCAGACGTCCAATTTGGCTTCTAACTTGGCGTCTAACTGTTGAACAAAGACTTCCAGGCTAGAAGCGTCTAAAGTTAGCGGTCGTCAGATAGACGCAGCCGCCGTCCAGCTAGACGTGTCTAAGACTTCGACGCGTCTAGCTAGACGCGAAATGGAAGCAAATATTCACCCATTGTCACACTGTTTTACTGTCTCCTCTTTGATGGATGATTATTCTGCAAGAAGTGTGTGCGTAATCGGTAATGACAACACAATGGGGAGAACGACACGACCGGACCGACGGAGTTACATCAGATCCTGCGCTCGAAACGTCCAACTTAGACGAACGGGAAAACACCTGGATGAAGTGACGCACATCATATAATGGTTTTTACGTGTCTAGCTACGAACGTATCGACGCAACAGGGTAATGACCCTCTTGCGTCGATGCAACGCCAAAGAGTTGGCAGAATTTGTCAGCTGTTAAAAATGTGTTGAATCGCGCCGGGATAGGGGTGTTTTGAAACCCCCTGACCCCTGCAGTTTTTCTTAGATTCTCCGAACCAGCGGCGCTGTGCTCTGCCGTTTTTAGAACATCTATTCATGCATCCTTTCTGCACATGTTGTTACAATTTCAGACAGAGGTCGCTCAAGGTCAAGTTAACAGGTCACGTCAAGTGAGCTCACCTCAGAAAACAAGTTGAACGTTCGTCATAGCTACACCGGCTGAACGATCGCCTTGAAACTTTCAGCGATTGATAAGAGTAACAGAATTTATAAAATGTACATCTAGGCATTTCGAACTCTGTGACAAAAGGTCAGGTCAATTTTGCGCCCTCTCCAATAGGTAAGTCAATGGGAGAAAATTGAAAGGCGTCTCTTTTGGACGAACGCCATCCTAGACACTCAGTCTCAAGCATCGGGATACAGGTGAAATTGTCACACTAAATAGGAAAATTGCACCTTGGACTCCTCCTTATCCCCGAAGTCCTTTCAAGTCACAAAAGTTCCCCAGCAGCTTTTTGGCAATAGCTTTTAATAGAGACATGCTAGAGCGATGAAAACAGCCAAGATATGATGTGTTCAGAGGTCAACGATACGGCTCGACTGGTATGCAATATTACTTTTTCCGGTGAATGACTTTGACCTTAGGTCACATTTTGAAAACGACCCTTCGAGGCAAAATCAATAGTTCATTCGACGCGTCTCGACGAGAAGAACACGATGCTGGCAAAATAAATGTCGTGCCCTTCTTGAGTCAAAAGTCACTACAAAAGAAAAAAAAAACAATTTTGATAAAAACGGCTAGTTTTCGAGTTTTTGCCCTCTGGATGCTAAACAATTAGTCCAAAGTCAAATCTGAGAGCTTTGATAAGAAAAACGTTAAGGGAGCTATTGAATGCGCTTTTCCGCGGCGCCGTAGCTCTATAAATTCCCGAGTAAAGCGCCGTTTTTTTCGAAAAAAAGTGTTGAAATAGGTAGCCTTTTATCTTTGATAAACTGTGGTGCTAAACTTTGATAAACTAAACTGACTTTGACCTGACATAAAAAATGGCAAAAAGTATTTTCACCACGGTTTTTTATGCTCTTTCAAATGCCGCTTACCGCGTGTCGCTACGTGGCCCAGAAGTCGAGTCAGAAGGGGGTGGGGTGGGTGTTCAAACAGCCCCGGTCCAATGCCGGTTAAAAAAAGGTTTTATGTAGCAAGGAAAGTGTACTTTTATATAACTAGAAGTATAATTTCCATTAGTTTTTTCCAGTCACTGGTTAGCTGAGATTTGGAAGGCAGGCACAGTTAAGCTCGTTCATTGGCTATAAACATGTTTGTCGTCTTCTGTAACTATTATAGATACTTTTATGCAGCAGCTGTGTCCTCAATCGTTCGCACTTTGGCATGAAATAAATACCTTTTGTCTTCGACTGAGATGCCAAGTAAAATGATGCCAGAGGCTGTTGCAGACAGGCATAATATTTAACGTGTCGTAAAACATGAAGGCAGTACCTTATAGCCCAGTTTTTTTTTTTGCTTTGAAGAAGTCATTGTTCTTCAACGGACCTCGCACAAATCAAATCTATCACAAATCCTATGCATGCAGAATTTCAGTCTAAATAGCCTTCGCCTCCAAGATATCTCCAAACTTCAATGTCATCATTTCACGGAGACCACACTCACACAATACTCCGTAACCCTGAACCAGCTGTCTTACGCAAACTCCAGTCTTATTCACCGACCATCAGGAACTTTACCGCCTCTACCCCGAAACCCCGGCGCCGTTCCGCCGTACACTGAGAGCATAGCGACCTCGTCAGCGCCGCCGACCTCGGCTCGGCTCGGCCTGGGGCCGCTGCGGAGCCAGCCGTTGGAATCCCCACCTGACTGCACCGGCGGCTCTGCGCCGCTCCAGCGGGCTTCCCGAGCCTCGGCGCGGCGCCCGAGGCCCGGCAGCCGGTTATAGCAGAGGCCTCCGCGGCCCGGCACCCAGTCGTCACCAGGTGGTCGGAGTGAGCAGTCGTGGACGTCACGTGTGAGAATCTGAGGAGCCCGCTGGACAACGGCTCGTGGTTCAAGGTGAGCGTGCATGTATTATTCATAGGACGGACGGGTGTGTTGATTTGGGTCACTGGACGTGGTTGCCATGGAGATAATTCTTTCCCAGGCTTTGACAGGCATGTTTTCTATACTCCCACAGCTCATGACTTCCTTTATGCATGACTCACCTACACTTCATACATATATCTTGGGACTTTCCCAGATGTGCAAATCTGTTGTGAAAATATACCTACTGCACTGATTCGGATTCATATCCACAACTACCCATCCATATCACCCATATTCATGACTAATGAAGTTGAGCACCACTCGCTTCGATTAAGTAATTATCGCGAAAAATCATTTTATTGATATGATGCAGGTTATAGGAATCTGATACGACATACAGATGCCTCCATAACGGTCTAATGCAGAGGTCTGTTGATAGGGTTTAACCCTATTAGTGGCAGGCTCCTGGCTACCCCCTATTAGTGGCAGGGGGGGGGGCTGTTTACGACCCCCCCCCCTTGATATCTCGAGATCTAACGGGCCGATTTTCAAAATTCAAACGGCATTCGATTCCGCTCAACGTGATCTACATTTCTAAAAAATAAAAATTAAAAAATGTCAATAGGGGGGGGGGGGTAGAGGGGGTAAAAACGGGCAAATTGCAGATACATTTTAGACTGTTTATCACGGCCAGGTTTCTGAACCGATCTTAACGCAACTTTTGCCGATCGATAGAGAATGAACCAGGAATTCACATGGATCCTAAAAATATGCATTTTCAAAAATCATTGGCGGATACAGATCATTGAGATTGGGGGTACACAAAAAGTATAGTAAATAAGGTTTTTGTTGGTACTGTTTCTAAAAAGGGTGGTAATGGTCTTGTTATGTTACAATTTTCTTATGAGAGAACGACTACAATTGTATTGGTCATGCATAGGCGGTGTCAGGGCACCTATGTTGGGAGGTAAAACATAACCCCCCTTTTTGGACGCCTGGATCCGCCTATTATAGCAAAAACGTGTCAAGAGGATGCACAATAACTGTATATGTTATCACATGATACCTTTCATTCACTGTTCGTAAAACTGGTGCAGCATCGTGATCTTCGCCCAAATGACTCGCTTCACGAATAGGACCCCCCAATTCCCAGTGCTCTGGAGCCGCCCCTGGTAAAGTTATGAACTTGAAATTTTCAGGGAATGTGCCCAATTTAGTTTTAGGAAAAGTCAGAAAATTTCAGCATCGTAGCTTCAGCGGTTTCGGAGATATTCCCGAAAAACCTGAGGGGTGGATAAAAACAACCCCCCCCCCCCTGCCACTAATAGGGTTAAACAGGCCTAGCAGTACGGGGATGGGGATATGTATGGGTGTAATGTGTATTTACTCCCATGAATAAGTAAAATGGTTCGGAAATTTGTCATAGCTGTAGTGATTTCAATTAGCCTGCAATAAATATTGCAACCAATTGACTGTGTCCAAAATTGCATTCACAATTTTGTTGCAAAACTGCAAACATACGAATCGTTCTACCTCTCGTTAAAATGAATAAATCTACTCTCTCTCTCTCTGTTGATTTAGCACGGCGTTAAATTTTCGAGCGTAAGTGATGGATCAACTTACCTTCCTTTAACCTTGTATCAGTTACGTATAAGCTTTATAAGTTCATTTTTTTTCTCATTTTCAATCTTACGAATAACTACATATTATTGAGTGGTCTCGATATTAACAATAACAAGATATTGACATTTAACCCTCGCCGGACCTATTGGTTTTCTATACATACGCGCCGGCCGAGGGGGGGGGGGGGCGGGTACGACCGCCCTCGCCGTTTCGCCCCTGGTGGAGCTAGCGCGTCGCGGAAAAAACGAGCGTGTGCGCCGTTACGAGACGCAGAGATTGGTATCCGATTTGAAGGTCCTAGGTCAATCGGTGACCTCTGAGGTCAGGTCAAGTGCCCCATGGTACGGTTCAGTTTTTGGTGAATAACTTCGCAAAAAAAACGGCCGCAGAGCCGCGATTTTGGCAGCATCGTGTTCGCCTCGCTCAGGCGCGTCGAATGCTATACTTTTTGTTTGGGTCAGGTCAACTTAGGGTGTTGACCTCAGGTCAAGGTCAGGTCAGCACCCCCAGGTCACGAAGTTGGTCGAAAGAGATCATGTTGCATATCATTCGATTTGGCAGGTCTTTCGGAGTTTTTTTTTTCAACTTCTAGCCATTTATTTGATCATTTGACCACCATTAACCACGCAAAACAAACGCACACAAACATTACATACAAAATTACAACATAATATGACACACATAGCTTAACAGCTTTACTAACAGACCTTTTAACAAAAAACACAAAAACACAAAACCAAACAAAGCAAAAAAGAAAAGAAAAAAAATAAGCAAACGAACCCAAATAAAAGTGACGACATACGTAAGCAGTTCGGATCAACTAATAACGGCATTCGTGACCCTCCACAGGGCATCATATCTATCCATTTTGTCATTTATTTGCGCCACATGCTTTTCCATAAGACTGTACTGTTGCAGCGTGCTGATAAAGGTCTGGAAGGTTACCGGTCGGTTACTAACTCTACAATTCCAAATATACTGTTTGGCTACCAAAATCAGTAGATTTAAGCGATCAACAAAGTGAGCTTCGCCTTCGACCCCGCATATTATCTGTTGTAGAGACAGCTCCTCTCTTACCCTGAATCTGTCCTTCAACTGACGCCAGAAACTCGCCACTACCTGACAATGCCAAAAAAGATGCCCAATAGATTCTTGATACATTGGACAACTCCGACACTTGTTTGTTTCAATTAGGCCATACATATACAGACGCTTATTCGTGGGTAAGAAACGATGTAAACACTGATATTGCAACCATCTTAACTTTCGATCTTCACTAATTGCGTACACAAAGTTAAATGCTCTATCCCAATCATAAGTTGCTGGTAACCCCAGTTCTTCCTGCCACTTAATGCATGCAATCGGCTTCGCCTGATTTTCTCTGATAATTTTCAGATACGCCCATCTTACTACTTTCTTTGTTTCTAATAGTTCTTGCGTGACCTTATTTCTGACCCTTGTGATAGGCTCCTCTACGTTCAGCAGTTCACGCCAATTCTCGGGGATTGTCCTAATCAACGATTGACATGGTAATGGGTGTAAGTCGTACTTTAATGCCAACTCATTTGCAGACAACATTCGATGTCTATCGTAATCGTACAAATCGCTCACTTTGACCATTCCCTTAGCAATGTATACACTTCTCCTTATCCCCTGAATTTTCTCTATTCGTATATTTCTATTGAACCATATCACTTCATTAAGCACATCGCCAGCTGTTAGGGATTCTTTTGTAGCTACTTCTCGCCAGGCTAATACGGTTTCTCTCCAAAAACTATTACTCACGCGCCCCTGTACCTGTCTTAGGTCAGGGTTGCATTGGAATATACTGACATCGCCGTTAACCGTCAAAACTGGGCTTATAACCTTTTTCCAACTAGAAACATTATCTTTGTCGAGATATCGTTTGACCCATCCAATCTTCAGACTTTTTACTACCGTCAAAACATCTGGCACCTTTAGGCCTCCTTTTTTGTATTCCATTTTGAGAACTTCTTTCTTAACCCTAGCTCTTTTCTTGCTCCAAATGAACTGGAAAATAATATCATCTATACGTTTGATCATATCGGCTCTTGGTTGTGGGAGTACAGACATTACGTAAATTAATTGCGACAATGCGACAGATTTGACCAAATGGATCTTGCCATATGGCGTCAATCCTCTTTGCAGCCACGGGTTAAGACGTTGTTGCAATTTATCAATCTTATTTGTATAATTTTTCTGCAAGATATCCTCCTGGAGTTCGGTATCAATTAGCAAGCCTAAAATCTCGATCGGCTCCCTCGTCCATTTCAAGCCAATTTCTTCGCAAATGAAGTCTTTTGTCTGTGATTCATTGCCAATCCACGTGCAGTGGGTTTTATGTTTATTTAACTTCAATCCCGACACTGCTTCAAAACTATCGAAGGTCGCTATACACTGTCTGAGTGAGTTCGTTGTTCCGTCCAAAAAGACCGTAAGATCATCAGCGTAAGCTGTAACCTTCACAGTGATGGAGCCCGACAGGTCCACCCCCTTGACCTCATCGTTATTTCGTAATGTGCGAATGAGGGGCTCTATACACAACAAAAACAGGTAACAACTCAGTGGGCAGCCTTGCCGTAGTCCCCTTTTAATCACATACGGCTCAGACAAAAAGCCGTTTACTTGGACTCTAGCCGTAGGGTAATGTTCAGGCAGATCGGTATACAGTATATCTATCCACTTTTGGAAATTTGGTCCAAACCCGTTCCTTCGAACTACCTCTTTGAGATAAGACCAGCTCACGCTATCGTACGCTTTTTGCATATCACATGCCAAGAGTAAAGCAGAAATCTTATTCTCTTTACACTGTTGTAAAGTATCCAGAATTAATCTGACATTTTCACCAATGTATCTCCCTTGTATAAACCCAGTTTGGTCTTCATGAATCAAGTCCTTAATCACATTCCTCACCCTTAAAGCAATCGCTTTCGTTATTAATTTGTAAAGAACATTTAATAGACTGATCGGTCTTAGATTTTCAACGTGCCTCCTATCTTTACCTCTCTTCGGGATCAGTATAGTTATACTTTTTTTCATCTCTCCGGGCATTTTACCTGTATCTAAGATCTCGTTTACGGCTTGTGTAATCAAAACCCTGAATTCTGACCAGAACGTTTTAAAAAATTCAGCAGTATACCCGCATGGTCCCGGAGAGCTACCATTCTTCATTGAAAACAGTGCTTGCTCTAACTCACTCGAATCAAAACGACTTTCACACCCGTCCCGTTGTCTCTCTGACAGTGAGGCAGTGTCGTTCAAAAAATTGGTGTAGCACTGCTCAACGTGCTCCGAATCATAAAGCTTTGCAAAAAATGTCCGGCATTCCTGCAATATTTCATCCCGGTCTACGGTGACTTCTCCTCTCTTTGTGCCATAATTTGACA